CTGTTGGTTAATGGGATGGCATGGAGGAGAGCCAGGCAATGACTTTATCATTTCAGTGTGACTGTACGGACTCTATGCCTAGGCAAGCAGATATCAGGACAAACCCACAGTTCCCACTGGGCAGGGGTGGACAGGCTTCCTGGAGAGCTGCAATCTCAGCTGCTGTTCAAGCAACATGGAAGAGAAAGGGCATTTTTGTCGTCTGCTTAATAAAAACATCAAGGTTGGTAGTGGGGTTGGGAACTGGCTAAAGGTGCCTGTGGACAGGTATGGTTGAAATACTGTGGGGACCAGTGCTGTCTCTCACCTTGGTATCGTGGGCCTCAGAAAGGATGTCAGTGCCTAAATCAGAATGTGTGATCACATGGAAGCAACGGGTAGAACAAGGGTAGATTCTCTTTATCTCCCTGGAAGACCAAGGGGTGGGATGAGGGCTAAGGCAATAGTTCCCATGTGTTTATTTCCTCTAGGGTGGTGACCTTTTTAAGAAGAGGCTTAATAAAGGCATATCTGGGCAACGTGGCAAGCGTGAGCAGTGGCCAAATGAGCCACATAGAGAGTTGTGCCACAAGCAGCAAGTATTGGGTTGTCGGAAAAGTCATGACACATGTTTGCAACAGATGGCACTAGTTCATTTTTGGAAGTACTAAAGTCATTCGTAGCTATGTTATTGCTACGTCACTTGACAGCTGACAGTTCTAGCTTCATTCTAAAAAAAACTGAGTGATTTGGTTGAGTTTTGGAGATTTTACAACAAGTTGAAGATGAAAGACCAAACTGTGCATTTTTGCCATATTTTACTGTTTTACTTCCATAAAGAATGCGCGTCAAGCTTGTGAAAAGTTGCATAAAGTTTACAGTGACAATGCTCTATAAGCACGTCAGTGCCAATGATGGTTCCCGAAATTCTGTGCTGGTGACTTTGATCTCAACGACGCTCCTTGGTCAGGGAGGCCCACCAAGGTTGATGACGACAAAATAAAGGCAGTGATGAAGTCAAACCCACGTTACACGACACAAGAGATTTTAGAAACATTGAACATCCATCATTCAAGCGTTCATGACCACCTGAAGAAGCTGGGATACGTAAGCAAGCTCGATATTTGGGTTCCACATGAACTCAAAGAAGTTCATTAGACAGCGCGTATAAACATCTGCAATATGCTCATTAAACGTGAGGAAAATGGTCCTTTTTTGAAGCAACTGATAACTGGTGATGAGAAGTGGATTGTTTACAACAATGTGGTACGCAAACAGTCTTGGTCCCGACGTGATGATTCGCCTCAAACGACATCGAAAGCAGACATTCTTCAGAGGAAGATTATGCTCTCAGTGTGGTGGGATTTTAAAGGTGTCGTGTTTTTCGAGCTCCTACCAAGGAACCAAACAATCAATTTGATTATGTACTGTTGGCCGTTGGACTGTTTGAACGAATCCATCATCCAGAGATGTCCAGAGCTTGTTAATTGTAAAGGAGTTGTGTTCCATTGCAACAGTGCAAGACCACACACAAGTTTGATCACCCATCAGAAATTATTGGAGCTTGGATGGGATTTGTTGCCACACCCGCCATACTTGCCTGACCTTGCGCTGTCAGACTTCCACTTGTTTCGCTCTCTTCAAAAGTCCTTGCATGGTATAACGTTCAATTCAGATGAGGCTGTAAATCAGCGCCTTGTTCAGTTTTTCACAAATAAAGACAGGTCCTTCTATGAATGAGGAATTATGAAGCTCACTGAAAGATGGCAAAAGGTTATCGAACAAAATGGGCAATATATCATTGATTGATCTTTGTTCTTTATATAAATAAATGACCTTTGAAAAACATAGACAAAATACGTCATGACTTTTCCAACAACCCAATATTTGAGCTAACAACTGAGGAGTCAGACTCAGTGGTAGTAAAGGGCCTACGTGTGGTATCCGTCTCCTCCTAGGCCTCTCCCAGAAATATAAGGTAAGGACTCTTGTTTACATTTGACTCAGTTACTGAGAACAGAGAACTCTTAGAGAGTGGAATGTCACCTCTACTTCACACCATATACCAAAATTAACTCAAAATGGATTCAAGATCTAAATGTTACAAGGACTAAACTCTTAGAAGGAAACATAAGGGTAAATCTTTATAACCTTAGATCTGACAATGGACTTTTAGATATGACACCAAAACCACAAGCAAGAAAACTAAAAATTGATTAATTAGACTTCATCCAAATTAAATTCTTTTGTGTGCATCAAAGAGCACTATCAACAATGAAAAGGCAACCCATGGAAAGTGAGTAAACATTTGCAAATCAAGGGATTAATATCTAAAATATATAAAACTCCTACACCTCAACAACAAAAAGACAAACACCCCAATTAAAAAATGGGCAAAGGGAGCCGGCCGAGTGGCGCGATGGTTAAGAGCTGGCTTGGGATGCCAGAGGGCCCCGGTTCAGATCCCACATATGAGGGCCAGTGACACTGCCCTCCACAGCTAAGATGCTGAACAACAGCTTAACCTGGAACTGGGCTGCCGTGAGTCACTGGCGACAGCGTGGGCTGCAGCCCCTGTGGCAGTGGGTTGCCATGGGCTACCATATGTAGCCAGCAGCCAGCGTGAGCGGCCAGCAGCCGCTGTGAGCAGCCATCCAGAAGCCGGCAACTGATCTGCCTTGCCCGGGAAGAGCGCAATGATGGTGCCAACTTGGGCCAGTGAAGCAATGTCCTCCACAACTAGACTGAAGAACAAAACGACAGCAACTTGTCTGTTCCCCTTCCCCCAATTCTCCAGCACTGTTCCCTTCCCCCCAATACCCCAATAAAAATCTTTAAAAAAAAATGGGCAAAGGACTTAGATATTTCTCCAAAGAAGATATGCAAATGGCCAACAATCACATGAAAAGATGCTCAACAAACTAATCATTAGGGAACTGCAATGAAAACCACAATGAGATAGCAGTTCACACCCACTAGGATCAAGAGAAAAAAAAACAGAAAATAGAAACTAATAAACGTTGGCAAAGGTGTAGAGAAATTGGAGCCTTGTATATTGCCAGTGGGAATATAAAATGGTGTAGCCACTATGAAAAATAGTTTACCAGTTTCTCAAAAGTTAAACGCAGAATTGGCATATAACCCAGCAATTCCACTCCTAGGTATTTACCCCAGAGAAATGTAAACAGGTATTCAAACAATACTTGTACATGGATGTTCATAGCAGCCCTATTCACAAAAGCCAAAATGTGAAAACAATCCAAATATGCGTCAGCTCATGAATGGATAAACAAAATGTGGTATATCCATACAATAGACTATTATTCACCATAAAAAAGAATGAAGTACTGGTACATGCTACAATATAGATGGACTTTAAAAACATTATGTTAAGTGAAAAAAGCCAGACACAGTAGGTCACATACTGTGATTCCATTTATATGCAATATCCAGAATAGGTAAATACATAAATACAGAAAGTAAATCAGTGGTTGTCGGGCTGGGGCGAAGGCAGACAGGGAGTGACTGCTGAAAGGATATGGGGTCTCTTTTGGGGGTGACAAAATGTTTTGAAACTATAATAGAGGTGATGATTGTACAACATCGTAAATGTGCTAAATGCCACTAAATTATACGCTTTAAAATGGTTAATTTTGTTATATGTATGAATTTCTCCTCAATAATAATAAAAAAAGATGGAATGTTAACCTTCTAAAAAAAATCATCATAGTGGGAGAGATGTGGGGGGCTGGGGAGGTTACTCTCCTCAACCATAGGATTGGAACTCTTTGATCTCTTGGTCAAGGTCGTGCCGTGCAAAGGTGAAGACCTTGGTACTACAGCCTCCACCCCAGGCAGCAGTGGGGCAACTGCACTGTGAGATCTCCACAGAAGGCCAAGTTGGCAGTGTGGCCCTGTAGAAGGGGACAAGCAAGCCTGATCAGGCCTTGATGACCGCGAGCTTTTAAACCCGATGACAGATGGATTCTGGCCTCAGGAGAGCAATGGATGGAATCTCTGGACTATGTGACTTGAACCTGGAGTATTTCTTTTCACCTTTCCTGGCAATACATTCTTTTCCCATCCTAGAGACTTGATGAAAATGCTTAAGGCCAAAAAGAGGTGTGGACAGCAGCAGCGTAAACATCCCTTTTCTCTTCTTGAGCCATTCCTGTTGGAAGTAGTTACCGGGTTTAAGCGCAGGCATCATTGGAAGTTGGAAAGAGGCTGGCAATTCAGGTGATACTGGCCAATTTTCACTCTGCTGAAGCTAGGCCTGATAACAGGCAACAGAGGAATTATAGACAGCTGGTTTTTTTGTTGTTGTTATTTTTAAAGTGTGTATGTGATCATTTTGGGGTTGTTTTTTTTTTTGCTTTCTTTTTTGTATTGGGCAATAGTGTGTTTTTTGCAGGACCCGTCAGCTCCAAGTCAAGTCGTTGTCCCTCAATCTAGTTGTGGGGGCGCAACTCAGCTCCAAGTCCAGTCGCTGCTTTTAATCTAGTTGCCGGGGGTGGGTGGGGGGCAACCCCACCATCCCATGCGGGAATCAAACCGGCAACCTTGTTCAGAGCACATGCACTCTAACCAACTGAGCCACCTGGCCACCCTCAGTTTTCATTTCCTGTTCATAAAAATGAACACAATGATATGTCCTTTGAGTAGCCTGTGTGATGCTATAGGCACTTAATTAAGACCAGTATTACTATTGATGATTTGGGGAGGGAAATTTGCTGAATTTCTTGTTCTCTAAATAATCCAAGAGGAGGTTAGATCATCTAAATTCATTAAATTCTCCTCAGGGAAGAAAATGCAGTCAGCACATTTGTTTGTCTTATTATAAGAACTGTTTGGGTGACGGAGACTGGTTTGCCTGAGATGCTCGGGGTGGCTGTGAAGAAAATGGATAGGCTTGCTCTGGCCTGACCAATTTTGATGTCTCATGTAATTTAGGAAAAATGGATGATGTAAAGTTTTTTTCTTTTTACGGTGTAACAATTTTCTCTTTTCCTCCTCCCAAGATTAAGTTGTCATCATCCTGGGAAGAATAGAAAACATTAATGAAGTGGCCAGTACTCCGAAGGGCATCATGGATTGGTTTCCTTTCACTCCCTGTGGTGGATTTCACTTACAAGAAAATTGAAGCTGGCAAGACCCTGTTTTCTCTGCAATTTATTTAAAACCTTGCACGCACTTGGCTACCTTGTGATTTCCAAGAACTATGTGAAGATTAAGCTTTGCTTACTGGTACATGGCATGTATTCTTTTCAGTCTTTTGTGTTTGATTTTGTTTGATTTCCCTCGGCAGCACAGCGTCTCTGTAAAGGTTTTTATGCTTTTACCAACCACGTCTTAAATCCATTAAGACAATACATTTGGTGTTCACACTTGTTCAGTAATGTCTGTACTTAAAAGCCACATAGTGGCATAAAACAATGTGTGTTTTCTTGAGACCAGGGCACGTTTTGCAACCACAAGGAAGGAGCTGTTTAGCGAGAGCAAACCGTGTTCTCCGACTGACTTGACGACATGGTCCCTGGCGTCGGGGCCCGACTTGTCGCTTCCCTTTTGAGGACATTTGCAGATGTGTTGTTGTTTTTGTTTTATTTTTTTCTCTTGGAAATAACTGCACATTTATATAGGATATCAGAATATGCTTAGCATTTTCAAGCCACATAGCATGACTGTTTTCCAAGTAGGGTGAAAGTGGAGAGAAGTATCAAGCATTAAGAGAACAAAGGGATAAACTGCTTACTTTTCAACCTCTGGAGATTGAGGTAACTTTTTACATGTTTTTCTGGGTCTTGTCAACATCTTATTTTTCCATCCACTCTTTTACACTTTCGGTATTTTCTTAATGGAGAAAAAAGAGTGAGGAACAAAATGTTTAAAACTTAGGTGCACAAGAATTGGATCTGCTGGGTGCGCCCTGAAAACCATCTTTGCATGTTAACGTTTAAAGCAAATTACAAAGTTATCAAGAGTTAGACATTTGCTCATTTACACCAAAGCACCTTTAAGTGACATTTTTTTAAAAAACATACCAAGCTGATTGGAAGTCATCATTGGGTACCCTAACTTTAAACAGTCTCCTGGAAAAACTGTTCGAATGCAGGTTTTAGAAGCAATACAGGCGTCTTGCTTTTAAAATGAGAAGGGGAAAAAAGAAAGGCCCGGCTTCCTTTGTTTAAGGAGTTGAGAGACCTTGGAGGATGAAGGCAAGTATGTGACAAGGAGGGAAAAGTGGATTGGGCATTTGTTGAGCTTTGATCCAGAGGGAGAGCTGTCTGACTCAGGCCCGTCTCCTAGTGGGGCAGGCCTCGCTGCAGAATCCCAGGTAATACTGAGGCCAGGGTGGGTGGTTAGGAAATTCATCTACAGCATGAAACCGAGCTCCTCGGGACACAAATTTCTATGGAAATACCTACGTGTACATTGTTTTACATGTTCCTATTGCTCAGAAAGAAGGAGAGACCAAGAACTTGAAATGCATCGCACTTTTGAATATCAAGACTAGGACGAATGAGCCAGTTTGAGAAAGACTTTCTATGAGAGTCAGGTGAGGGAAAAGCTTTTCTATAGCCAAACCCAATATAACTAGGGGATTAGACCCAGAAATCCTGCACATTAAAATGGTACCTTCCTTGGAGTGGGGTGTGAGTATATGTATTCACAATCCATCCTGTCCAGTAGTAGCATTTATTGTAAGCTTCTAAGTGCTAAGCAAGGAATTATTTACTGATTGGTTTTGAAAGCAGCAAGTTGCCCAATGCTAGAATATTAACCGTTTGCTACCTAGAAATCTTCCCCATTCTTCTTTCATACATTCCAACCCACTGGAAACCTTTAGAGGCATTTTGATGTAACATGTACTTAAATTAGGATTTCTTAAAGTAAATACGGAGAAGAAAATCTTACATGCAATCGAAAAACAGCCTTGCCTGTGATTTATCTTGCATTATTCATTTGCGGGAGAGGCGTCATTTTTGGATTTTACTAAGTTTAAACCAAGAGCAACAGATGATTAAATCTTGCTATATCATAAGCTTTCTAACTTGAAAATTTGAAAATATTTAGTGTTAAAAGATTTCAATTAGGAAGGTTAGAGTCATTCTGAGATATATGCCCCTGTCACAGGCAGCTTCTCTTGGGAAATGAAACATAATACTAAGTGGGGTGGGGGTAGGGCCTGTTTTATTACAGAGACACGCCTCTCACAAGACCTTATTTAGGAGGTTTTAGTTCCCCATCCTTGACATTGGTACAGAAAATCCAAAGTTTGGTTTGTCTTTCTGTCCTCTCCTCTCCCATTTGCAGTCATGTTCTGCCTCCCTTCGTTTCATACCTTCTCTAGCTGAGGGCCGTCATGAAAATCATTACCGAAGGTGTTCATCAGCAGATGTACTATTCTATTGAGAAAGCACTGGAGTGTTTTGTGAGATTATTTTTATATGAAGGAGTAGCTTGGATTCAAACAGCTGCAATAGTAAGAACACATTAGCATGATGGTTGTGTCGACGCACCATCGCTGCGCATAGTGTTCTGAAGGGAAATTTGGGATTTCATTTCCATGTTCTCACAGGAACAGTGTGGTTGACGTCAACATACAAGATTTGTAGAACATGAGAAAAAAAATGTTTGCAGTGCTCAGCAGAAAATGGGGTATAAGGCAGGGGTGGCTGTCCATCCACTGATACAAGGATGAGAAGCTATTTCTACCTCTCAAGAGTGATGAGAAAAGTTTCCAGGGGCGCCTCCAGGCTTGCAGAGAAAGCAAGGCCCCTGAGTATCCTTTCCTCAGTGTGTACGTGACAGCCCATGTAATCAGTACCCTAGGTTATGCGTCTATATAAGATACTCACCTGTGAATATTACTGGTTTTGTAATCTTTGTTATATAAGAGGATGTTTAGGCTGTACATACTGGGGTAGAGTATTGCCTGCCCCCTATACATAGGAATATGCGGCATAATTGCGCATAACTTCCATCTCCCTTTTGGCTTGTAGGCAGAAGAAACCACTTATGTTACTGCCTTGTAATTTTCTCGTACACCAAAAACAAAGTAAAACACACAAAAAAAATCTCAAATAAAATAAGCAATCTCCTATTTCATTCCCTTCCCACAGCAGCATATGTTATAGGCACATGCAAAATCTACATCCTCTAGTTGGGAGTGGATTTTTTTTTCTTTTATCTTTTTTTGTTGTTGTTTTTGTATGATACACTGAGATGTGTACTTTCTAACGGGTTTGGTACCCAAGAAATGTGCTAGCATCATTCAGAAAACTATTATACTTCAAAAACGACACATAGTATGGAGAATGGAATAATACGTGTTGCATATTTGTTACCAATTGTAATTTGTCTGTATTATGAAAGATGTAATGGTTTGTCAAGCTGTCACTGTTGTTTTCTTGTAACATGATATGGAATAAAATATAGCAGAATCTCTGTACATTTTCTTGGTGAATCTTCTTGACAGGTGCCAAGTAACACTATATACTGTGTCAAAGAAGCATTGTCTTAAAAGTTCTTAATCGCAACCATTCTTAAAGAGGGAAATAAATAGGAGACCAAACAGACAATACTCTTGGATATGGGAAGGAGTGAGTTCGCTGGAACCTTCCAGGAGTCTATCAAACCCTCCCTTTCCTTGATTTGCTAGGCCAAAATTAGGGAAAGGTGTAGAGGCCGCGCAAAACAAATCTTTTGAGCTCAAGGATCTTCACAATTCCCCCAGCTCCTTACTAATGTTCACCACGTGTTATATGCAGCTGGAGCTGATCTAGTTTCGTTTAATGACAACCCTATTTATCTTTTATTGCCTCTTTTTCCATTTTTTTTTGCACATATCCTAAGATGAGGTGAGTGGGTTTCGCTCCACTGAATACAAATCAAAGCTTCAGTCTGCCGACATCCTGCCGGAAGCGTTACATCCCCAAACACCAGCTAGTGGGGGGCTGCGCCTGAATGGGCGGGGCGATGTCGGGAGCTCGCATTGGGATTGGCAGTGTCGCCTTGGGAGGCGGGTCTCATTGCCATTATCACCTCCTTCTTGTCAGATCTGTTAGCTTCATAACCCCAAACAAACCCCCATGAACTGATAAGCTGCTAATAGTGTTTGTGTCAGAGTTAGCAATTTATAAGTAAGATATTTGGCGATTTTAAAATGTTTATCCTTGAAGGAAAAAATTGAAGCTCAAGTCTCATGTTAAAAGGAGCCAGGACCCCTTGCGCTCCCCTGGGAAGACCTTCCCCTACCAGCAGCAGCCGCTTCAGTGTCCCTTCTCTTGTTCCTCTGCCAGAACTTCGGTGATCTCATAGTTTATAAGCCTTTCCCAAACTAACGTTCTCACAAACCCAGCCATAAGTGTTCTCAGCTGATGTCTGTTCCAGCCCAGAAAAGCTCACGAGAGCTGCTGCGTCTTCAGCTCCCTAAAATCTCTGCTGATTTCCCCCCAAAGCAGTGACTCATCTACGACAAAGGCACAAACGTCTTCACACAGTCCCACCACCACCTGTGGATTCCGAGACGAGAAATTGTGTCGAGGCGGACTTTGTGGTACCCAAGATAGAGATAATAACGAAATGTCTTAGTTAAATGGGAGACAAATATTACCCTGGAAACTGATTCGAATTATGGACATGTCAAAAGAAGAACTTGTTCCTCAGAGTTGTTTCAAGGGGGCAAAATGCATGCCGCCGCCCCTATTCCAACAGCTCCACGAGCACTTTGGCACATTGCTGGGGCCATTACCGCAGCCTCAGGGATGGGCTCACGTTTTAGAGCCTGTGCACCTGGGTTGGTTTAATCTCGTGAGCGCTTAAATGAAAAGGAGGTGGAGGGCTGGTATCGACAAGAGGCCAAAGAAATAGCTTTGAGAAATATTTTTTGAACTTGTTAAAGGGTGGCAGTAGCGATGACAAGCATCTCTCAGCTCCGTCATGGCCCCGTGCACCGTTCTTTTTCAGCGGGGCTCCTCCAGCGCCAGGCTGCAGGAGGTGACATGTGCTCCCTGAGGCGAGCAGTTCCAGGGAGGAGGACGGCAGTCCTACAGTTGCCGTTGGCCCCCCCGAGTAAAGAGAAACCAGAGGGGAAGGTGTCAGAGCAATCCTGTGCCACTAGGTTAACACGTACAGTTGCTGAATAATGGCTGTGCAATGAAAACCCCACAGTGGCCCAGCTGCCTGCTGCTACCAGTGGGTGGTGGCGTTCTGGGCATTAGCTTTGAGAAGCTTATACAGCAGAGGGGGCTAGGATAAAGGACACAAATCAGGGGAAAACTGACAAGATTAAAAAAAAAAAATCCAAGGCCTCGTATTTACTGTTCATCCCCCGTGCTCTCCGTGTGCTATATTGTCTGCGTTGAGTCATGCTGAGAGAGAGCCCGGCACAATAATAGCTGGGAGCAGCCTTGCAGCCCCGGAGCCAGCCTCTGCCAATGGTGCTGACTGTGCTGGTGGAGAATGGGATTCTGATAGAGTTGTCTTTTTTTCTCCTTCCCTGTGAGACCACCAATAATTACGAAGCACACGAGGCAGGGGTGGGGTAAGGGTTCTCTGTTGGAGTGTATCCTGAGAAGTGACCCAGCAGGAGTCCCCGGTGGAGGGATGTGCTGCAACAGCCCAAGGTGTGCCTGCCTGACATGCAGACAACGCTGGGGACGCGCAGGGAGGCGTGTTTGAACCAGCCGGTCAAGGATTTAGAGAGGTTTGGAGGGAAACATAGCTGTGTGCATCATCGCAGTGTGAAACACAGACTTTTTCCTCTCTCCATCTCCAACCAAATCAGGTAAGTTTGCATCCTCAAAGAAAGGTTGTAATTGGGCCGGCTGAGTGGCTCAGTTGGTTAAGAGCTCGCTCAAGAGTTTGAGCTCTGAGCAACAGCGGTTCGAGTCAGCCGAGCTGAGCAGCCGTGAGCTGCCAACAGGTGGCGGGATGGCTCAGCTAAAAAAAAAAGAAAGGTTGTAATCCACTCAGGTCCTTGAGGAAAAGTAGGCACAAATCCTACAACCTTATTCTGCCTAACGCTTGCGGAATTCAGACCTTCAGGTATCCACTCCCTTGGTCCAGTGGCTCACAGGCCTGACTCTCATTATAATCACGCGGAAGTTTTAAAAACACCCTCACCCCAGACCATTCATTCTGAAAATATCAAGAGTGGGGCCCTGACCTTGGTCTGTCCGGGGAGCTCAACAGGTGATTCTGTTGTGCAGCTCGTGTCAGAACTGCTAAACTCTTCCCTTCCCCTTGTCTGCCTGCTACTCCAGTGAGAAGGTAGACAAACCTTCTGTAAGAGCCAGATAGTAAATACATGCGGCTTTCCAGGCCGTACAGGGTGTCACAACTACTCACTCTGCTGTTGTAGCATGAAAGCAGCCATGCACACACAATGCATAAATGAATGAGTATGGCTGTGTTCCAATAAAACAATTTATGGGCACTGAAGTTGGAGTTGCATATAATTTTCACATGTCATGAAACATTTTTCTTTTGATTTAAAAAAAAACTTTAAAATATAAAACCCATTCTTAGCTCACAGCCTATATAAAAACATGCAGTGGGCAGGAATTTGCCTGGGGCTGCAGCTTGCTTACCTTGGCGTAGAATGCAGCCCTGGTATTGGGGGGGGTTGGGCAGGACCACCCCTGACATTGGCTGGGCCCAGGGTAGAGTCAAATGGAAGTTCACAAACTATATATCTAAATATTTAAAAATATAAATGTGACCAACAAAATGTAATAAATACTCAATTCTCTTACCTTGACAAATATGTCTTGATAATGACCTAGAAGGCCAGGGTTGCATGTAGAATTCTTGGACTCCTCAAAATTCACCAAACCATGGCAGCATGCAGACAATTGGCCCTTCTTTTCACTTCCCACTCCTACACCTAGCGGTGTGTATCCAGTGTGAGGAGCCACACATGCATGTGTGTGAACACCCCAGCTCCCACATCTATACTGTGTCCATACTCTGTAAACAGCCACTCCTTAGCCAGCCATTGAGATCAGGTTCATACTCTCAGGGGAAGTCATTTTGGGGAAGACTCCGTCTACAGAGAGAATTCCAGGGTCCTAGACATCTGGCGTATGTGGAGTAGAAGAGGGCCTGGTAGGTTCCTGTTGGGCATGGCACCATGGATTCTGTATTCCGTGGGGAGGGCTATGCTGTGGAGGATGAGAGCCATGCCCATTAAACATGGGCACCCAAACAGGGGCCCTCTTGCCTGGGTTTAAGGGCAGTACTGATGGGTGATAGGAGCCTGAGAATCAGGTCCTATGAGTTTTCAGGTCCTTTGTGCATTGGCCCAACACATAGAAGCAGACCTTGTGATGTGAAGCAGAACCATTCTGAGGAAAGGGCAAAAACTTGCTTCCATCTCTTAGAATTAAAGGATCTGCCCCCTGTCAGTCATGTGGAGGAAGTTGCTGGTACCAGTTCACTAGAACCAATTGTTAAATATTTAGGAATTTTGTGCCAGTTGTTAAATCATTGATGACTTGAAAACAGATGGGACTACTTACACCACAGAAATCGGCAAACTCTACAAATCAGGTCTCTCTCTCTCTCTCTCTCTCTCTCTCTCTCTCTCTCTCTCTCTCTCTCCATATATACATATATATATATAATTTTTTTTCTTTTTTTCCTTTTTCTGAGAGCCAGTTTCCCATCACACCACTGCCTCTTGACCCCTTTTCTTTCCAGCGTCATCGCCCATCTGTCTGCGCGCACATCCTCCACACGCACCGTGCTTAACTGCCTACTGATCCCTGGAATTCCAGACCTCCTCATGCCCCTGTTCTTTTGCACACACTGCTCGCTCCGATCGGAATGGCCTTTCCCATTTTTCTAGCAGACAAGTTCCCATTAATCCTTTTGAGACCCTGTCCCAGAACTATATCTTGCAAAGCCTTCCAGAACTCCCTCACTGACAAGGTTCCTTCTGGTTAGCTGACCCTTTTCTCTTCATTCCTCCCTCCCTTCATTCGCACAGGGTGGCAGAGACTGGCTGAGTGTTTTTCTCCTGTACTACACCAACTAGATCACCTTCCCCAGCCCCCCTTACGGGGTCTGACCAGTGGAATCTGAACACAGGTGGTTGCACCCCCTCCAGGCCTGGCCCGTTAAATAATGCTGTACACAATTCTCACGTCTTTTCCCTTTCTTGACAGCTTCATGCTGATGAACACGGCCAATTGGAAGTCCCATGTTTAAGAAGATGGGACCACAGTATGGAAGAATTACTGCTTGGAATGGAGTCACGTGATAGTCAAAAGGTCCTTTGGAGACTTCTCATGAGCAAGACATAAACTTCTATTGTGAATTAACCGTAAAACAAAAACAAACAAAAAAAGTTACCCTCCTTCAATTTATTCATCAACTAATTGAGTTGACACCATGTGTCAGGAGTGTTCTGGGTGCTGAAGATATGGTGGTGAATAACCTTTCATA